GGTGTGAGGGAGGCTCCTGGACCCTCAGCTGCCCCCAAGGAGAGGCCTGGAGCCTCCATTGCTGCCACCTGGCCTCTGCTCTCTTCCTGGTGGGGGGCCCCAGCACCCAGGGTGAACCTGAGGGCAAGGTCTCATCTCACCGTGGTCCTTCGCTGGCTCAGCAAGGGCTGTTGTAGAGGTGGGCTTTGGTGGAGGTGAGAACGGGGCTGGGGGAGGTCACGCGTTTCCTTGAACTTGGGGGATGAGAACTGAACTTTTACAGACTTACTTATTTTATTTGTATGGGTGTTTTGCCTGTATGTATGTCTGTGCACCATATGCATGTCTGCTGCCTGCAGAGGTCAGAAAAGGGCATTGAATCTCTTGAAACTGGATGTTGTGAGTCGCCATGTGGGTTCTGGGAACCGAACCCAAGTCCTCTGCTAGAACAGTAAGATGGCTCCGCTGAGCCATCTCAAGGGGGACTGAAATTTAAAACAAAACAAAACAAAACTGTTGTTATTCACTTGAGTATGTGGGTCCTCTCTATTGAACTCGGGTCACAAGGCCTGATGGCTAGTGCTTTTACCTAAATGGCTAGTGTCTTGTCAGCCCTGGACTTTTAAATAAAGCCCAGCTAAGAACCATAGCAGGTCTCAAAGGAAGCAAGACACTGGAAATAATAACCATGAACAAGTCACACATTAAACTTCAGCTGTGGGAAGGGGGAGGACAAAGGTGGGTGGGTGTTGACGTCTAGTCTGCTCTGTGTCATCCTAGCTCATGTACCCATGCAACCCCAGAAGGAAGGAGTATTCTTCGTTTGCTGTCCATGTTGGAAGCCCATGAGAACACGCGCATGAGGGCTGTCTGGGTGTGAATACGGACACACGTGCACCTGGGCTATGTTTGAACACATACACTGAGTGAGCAATTCACACACCCAAGTATGAGATCGTGCACAGCTGGGCATGTAAATACACACTTCCATGTGCATAGGTGTGTACACGTGTGCATGCACATGCAGGCACAAGATGGGTATTGCAGACACTACCGCCTGGTGAAGCAATGGGGGCCACACTCTCCCCTCTGATTTCTGGAAAACCTTGACTTTCTGGGGCAGATATTGGGGATAGTAGATCCGCCATGTATGCCTTTCAAGACACTTAGTCACCATTTTTTGGGTCTGCCCAAACAAAGCTTTCTCTGCCCCATCTATTTTCAGTATACCAGGAGCAGTGATGGCTTCCTGGGGATAGCCAGGAAGGGCCTTGCAGGCAGCTGCACCAGCCACCATGTAGGATTCTGGGGTCACAGCCATCCTGAGAACCTCAGGGAGAGCTGCTATGCATGAGGAGCATCAAGGTGGGCTGACCTGGGTACCAAGGGGTTCACAGCATGACATAGGGACCTAGGCCTCCACCATGCCACGAGGCTGATAACATGTTGAGAACAACCAAGAGGAGAGGACATCACAGAAGCAAGGTTGGATGCTGGGAAGCAAGGTTGGATGCTGGGAAGCAAGGTTGGATGCTGGGAAGCAAGGTTGGATGCTGGGTGGTCCTGTACTCAGACCAACCCCTGTACTTGGCCCATGTTACAGATGAGCTGATGGAGGCCAGGGTCACTACAACCATTTGGATATATGTTCAGCCAATCTTTATTTCCACACACATCACAGATAGAGGGTATTTTCCCCAATCTGTGATGTCGACTTTGGCCATAGAACTCATTCTGGCCAGTTGGTGGACTTGACCTGAGGAGTGGTTCCTCACTGCCCTGTATGGTTCCCTTAGCTTGATGGGAGGCTGCCCTGGGCAGCCATTTATCCCAGAATGATAAAAGAACTATGAGGCTGCCTTGACTCTGACTCTCGGCCTGAAGAAAAGCTTTGCCTAGACCAACAAACCACAAGCAACTTGCAGCCCTGTGTGCACGACAATCTGTTTAATGTCAGTCACCAAGTAACTTCAGGGTAGTTTGTTACACAGCATCATAGGCTGTAGCTGATGAATACAATTTATCACTAAGAGTAACAACGTTGAGATTTAAACTGAAGTAGTTCTGGCCAGAGCCTGTGAACAGAACCATGTGCTTGTGCTATAGAGTGTAGCAAATTAGAAAGCATGGGTGAAGTTTCTGGCAGGGAGCCAGGTCCTTTATCAACATATGCACAATTGGTGTCACCTCCATAGTCACCTCTAAAGAGCAAAGGAGGCCCAATACCCACGGAGGAATGAATAACCAGCAGAGGATGTTTCTGGGCACAGGTGGCCTCTGTCCACCTAGATGCTGTAGCCTACAGCCCCGAGATGTTACCTCTCCACTGCTGTGGAGCTGCTGTGAGCTATTGGACCTGGGGACAGGGGATGGGACAAGACACTTGGCTGCTGGGCCTGCAGCCTTGCCGCCTACCTTCGTGGCTCTTCCTCCCCCTTGGGAATCCTCACTGCGGCTGAAATCGAGAGGCTCTTGGTTCGTGGTCAAGCCCCCGCCCTGCGCGGCTGCCTCAGATTCTCATCTGAAGAGGGGAAAGGAAGCTGAGGGGAGTTCTGTCGTGGACTGCCATCCTGGGGTTAGCCACCAGCCCTCAAATACAGCTACAGCTAAGGAATCCTCCAGAACGCAGGCTCTCAGAGCCCATGGCAAATGTCCTCCTGAGCACTTTGGGAGGACAGGACAGGGGCCTGGAGGGGTGCAGGATGTGGTCAAGGGGACCAGCTCTGCTGTGGCTGTTGTAACCTGAGCCTTCGTTCAGGACCCTCTTTCCTGCTCTTCCCTCCACTCTTCCGTCAGCACCAATTCTCACCATCGTGTGACTCACACTTTATGATGGGGTGCATTCTCACCATCGTGTGACTCACACTTTATAATGGGGTGAGGACAAGGTGAGGAAGGGAA